GAAATAGCTTTCCCCATCCTTTACATCTTCATCTGTCAGTTACTACAGGACAGGCAGGGCACAAATGTGGACCTAGGGGACACTGCTATTCAAAAATATTCTGGTCTCACACGTGCAGCATTCATATGCACCAGAAATAGAATACACAAAAAACAATCCTTAAACCCCAGTCCTTATAGTAACTTCTTAAAGCAAGCTCTTGTTCTTAAATGACAAGAAAATTATCACTCAAAGAAAGGAGAAAGTACAAATAACACACCATTCCTGTTAAAATTACATAGTCCGCTTCAGTGATAAGGCAAGGACATAAAATTCCTTTTTGAAATACTTATCGTTCAAGGCCCAACTAAAATCTGTGGGTTGGAACAGTTGTTACAACATTAGAATATTGTCATCGATCCAAAGTAACGGACCCCTGTGTTACCCCCTGCAGTGCGTGAGCAACTGAAGGAGCTCACCAAGCAGTACGAGAAGTCGGAGAATGACCTCAAGGCCCTGAAGAGCGTTGGGCAGGTGCGGCGGACGGGCTGCCCCAGGGCTTTCTTGGTCGGGTTTTTTCTTGGGCTGCCTGTGCTGGGGGTGATGTCAGACAAGTTTTGGAGGTCAGGGGTGCTGCCTCGGGCCCTGGAGAGCTCTGGGTGCCTATAGACGAGGCTGCTGCAACATGCTGTGATTAAGTCTGTAATTACCGCGCTCCAGCAGACTCCAGTGTCTCGTGTATTGGCGTCCCCATGCTTAGAAGTGGTGGCAGGGGCGCTTTAACTAAAACTCTGTGGACAAGCTTGACTTCAAATGCCCCCACCACCAGTTTTAAGCACAGGGATGCTGATACGCTAGCCACTCCATGCTCTAATTCAATCACGCCCTCAACTTCCGGAGCATGTATATAAACACCCTTTGAGAGCTGAGGGAGAGCATCTTGCGCTCAGCTGCCAGTCTAACTTTATCCCAACGACATGGTTGGTCCAGTAAAAGACACCACTCTCAGAAGTCTTTGCCTCTCACTTAATTTCCCCACTATAGCAGCTACAGCATCACCCTATGCTGACTGCTGTACCAGGGAGTGTAAAATAAATCACAGCTGAAGCAGAGCGTAGGGAAACGGGTAGGGCTTGTGGAGTGGCTGTGAATTGTTTTGGGGTAATTTAGTGTACCCTATGCAATGTATTTATTCTACATGGCATATCTAATGGTATTTTTCCCTGTTTCTCTTGTTTAGATTGTGGGGGAGGTTCTAAAGCAGCTAACTGAAGAGAAGTGTAAGTACAGGCACTTGCTCGAAATGTTGTCTTTCTAAAGTAAACCAAAAGGCCAGTGTGGTCACACAGTCTTTTAAATCACTGGACTTGCACAGCACTGTGAAAATATTGGGCATGTCTACACAGGATGTTTACTTTGCAGTAGACTAATTAGCTGCCCAGTAAATGAGCTGCCCAGTAAATGTCACACATCTACATGTGTGACCCTATTAGACTAGAGTAAACTAATCTAGTTTGCAGCAGTGAACATGTAGACACTGCCCTGGTTGACTAAGGCACGAAGGTGCTTCATTACAGGGGCTGCCTGCTGGCTAGCCTCACAGCGAAGCACTATTGTGCTCCAGCTAGCACTTTGAGCTAGGGGAAGCAGCCCCCAACCGACAAGTTGACCCCTTTGGGCCCCCTGCTAGTTGGGGCTGCTCTGACTCAGCTCGACGTGCTGCAGTCCTGGGTGCACACATTAAGCAGTGTGCCCAGAGCAATAAGCTCCTGAGTTATTTCTCCAGAGTTTCTTCGCATTAATATGCACATGTAGACGTGCCCCTTGTATGGTACTTGGTATTGCTCAGTAGTAGGGAGACAGGTGAAGGACAGTGTGTGAACTTGTTTTAAATAATCTTTTTTTTCTTTTTTTTTCTTCTAGTCATTGTGAAGGCTACGAATGGGCCAAGATATGTGGTTGGCTGTCGTCGTCAGGTAACCCTGCTTTACATGGATACTGTTAAATAGCTTGCTCTCGTGTTAAATGCTCTTGTTGCTTTGTCTTAGCAGTGTTTTATAAATGTGTACCGTTCTGTGCTTTCTTTGTTCACTTGTGCTTGGCCCCAGTGTGCAGTTAGTGATGGCCTGTGAAAGATCAAGAATATTGGACTTGAATAAGAAAGCAAAAAGGATACAGCCCAAGATGTTTCTGGGGATTTTGAGATGTTTAATCCTTCCCATCGATTAACACCTCCCTCCCCCATATCTCATCAGATGGTTTCTGCCCGTCTCAGGTGGTTGGAAAGGTTATGCCTCTACATCTAACCATAGAAGTCTCTGCAAGTTTGGTTTTCATCATGCTGTCCTTTTCTAGTTGCACTGAACCTCCTGCCTAGTGCTCTAGGTCTAAATCATGGACAGTTTTTCTTTTAATACTGTATTCTCAAAATCACCCCATTGTGTATGTTTTGTAATAATTACATAGCTTCTGCAAGAAAGTCATAAACTTTAGTTATGTGATCTGGGTGCTTTCAGTTAAGGGTTGGCTGTTGCTCATTTCAAGTTTTATACTGTGAGCCTGTGATGGGGCCATCATGTCACCATACTGACCTGCCCCTCTGTGTAGGGCAGTCTGCCCTATTTCTCCTGCCACGACTTGCTGTAAAATGGACCTGATGTAATAAGCAGAAGGCTGCCCATTTGAATGCCCTGATGCCAAGGAGTGCTATCCACAGCTCCATACCACCTCTACACTGTGGATGATTCCTTGCAGATGGCATCCAGATTATAATTAAACTTCCGGTCTAAGGCCAGGGAAAACTTGGTCCACTGTTGGGCCTCTTATACACTGTCCCTTTCAGGACCACAGTCATACTGTCCCCTTCTCACTGGGGCCTCTTTGACTCTGCCTGTCACTGAGCCATTCACAACCTGCCCTGCTCCCTTGAGTGACCATGTAGGCCATCAGACTTGCCTACTTATGATTCTTGAGCGGCTGGCGCTCAGCATTTTGGGCCTCTCCTGTGACCCTCATCTGAACAGTGACCAGCCAGTTTGCCTACCAGTGGGCTGACTCTGTCCCTAGCCCAGGGGCGGGCAATTATTTCAGGCAGAGGACTGCTTTCCAAATTTTGGCAAGCCATGAAGGCCTGCATGGGTAGCCCTGCCCTTTGACAGGTGCTCCACCCCCTGGTCGCCATCTTGGAACCAGAAGTCCCACCCCCTAACTCACATCCTATCCCCTCTCCCCCCCCAATGGCAAGCAGAGCCCCCGCCAGTGCTCCTGCAAACCTGGGCTCTGCGCTCTGCCACTCCTGGCCCTAGGGCACTGGTGTGGGCCCTGTGCTTCTGTTTGCTGCCACTTGCCCCCCATGTGCCACTGCTGCCCTTCTGCTGCTTCCCATTTCCCTCCACCCTGCACCATGTCCCAGCTGCTCCTGCAGTCCAGGCACTGCAGCTGGGAACCATGTGGTGCTAGAGCGCAGTGGGTGGTGGGGGTGGGGGAGAGCGGGGAAATGGCTGTGGCAGGCGGCAGGAAGGGGTAGGAGTGGGCGTGCAGAGCGCAGCAAGAGCCAGGTGGGAGCATGGGGCCCGCACTGGTGCACCAGGGTCAGCGCTGGTGAGGCCCGGTGTATGGCAGCAGGAGCGCAGGGTCTAGGATGCCAGGGGCTCTATGGAGCTGTGCTGGCTCCCTCTTCTTCCTGCTTGAGCAGCACAGCCTGGCCCTGTGCTTCGCTGCCCACTCTCTGTCAGAGCTGGCCCCAATGCACCGGTGTGGGCCTCGTGCTCCTGCCTGGCTCTCACTGTGCTTCACACAGCTGCTCATTGCCCTTTCTTCCCACCTGCTTCAGCCATTTCCCTGCTCCCCCCCACCCAACAGCTGGTACCACATGGTTCCCAGCTGTAGCACTGGCACTGCAGGAGCTGGCCCAGGTGGCCTTGAGGACTGAGGAGGTCACCCACAATCCTCCCTTGCCTCCCTTCCCCGTCTCCTTCTTATCTGTTTTTCTCTCAGAGCAGGGAGGCAGGAACAGCCCCAGGCTAGAAGCCCCTGCTAGGCAGAGGCTTCCAACTGGGCCTTGGAGGGGGTGGGGCTGGGCCAGATTTGCTGTTGTGGCTGTTTAGTTCTTCCACTGGCTCCCCCTGGGTCCTACTGCCAATGGCTCCTGTCATCTTTGACAGGCAGCCAGGGGCAAATATAAATTTTCTAAGTTTTTTTGGGGCCCCGCGGGCTGGATAGAATGTCTTGGAGGGCTGAATGCAGCCCACGGGCCATATTTTGCCCACTTCTGCCCTAGCCCCTCACTGGGTGGCTTTCTACTTTTGCATACCCTTATGGGGGTTGCCTGTGTGCTACCCTTTATGCCTACCTCTAGCCAGCACATCACTGGTGTGGCCCTTCAGGTCACCACAGCAACCCTACTATACACCCTGCCTACGCACAGCCCTTCAGGCTGCTGCTGCACACCCTACTCTGCAGGCCACTATGCATGCTTCTGCCCCCCCCCCCCCCCCCCCCCCC